AAACTTCCCAAGAGAACAAGGGAAGCAGAATGTTTTTTTACAGCTGAAAATTCTCCATTTAAAATAATAAAGAGGTCTTACAATAAATAGTCTCATTTAGTACCATATATGTAATCGAAATAGGCTTGTGTATATATATAATCTATACAGAGACTCTTATTCATATAATCTATCTATATATAGTCCTTACAGTCTATTGCCTGATACACTCTTACTGATATTTATTAGCTACCTTCAATTTGTTTCTATAAATGTAAGTTTCAGTCCATAACAAAAAAAATATTTTCAATGTAAGTGATTTAGGCCATGACATGACCTTTAGCTGCTGCCTGTGAACAATTGCCTATCTCTGGCTGCAGTGCCTTGCACTGCACATATGAATAACTTGTCGTGAAAATATGTTTCTATGTAAGTGGGTACATTCRTCCAGGGAAATTAAAGTTTCTTTTTTAAAAAAACAAAAGGGGGAATAAACCAAAAATAAATAAAACTGTATTACTACTACCATCTTAGAATGGGATCACATCTATCAAAGGTGTCATAAGCAAAGCTTAAGTTCTGTCTTCCTTGTCCACAGGTAGGACACCAAAGTGACAGTCAACTCATTGAGAAGCTCTGATATGTGAGGATGCAAGGAGGATGTTCATTTCCAAGGCAGCAAAACCTAAATACTCTAGCATGTCTAACATTTCTAATATTATTAAGGGCAGAAGTTGGATTTTTTGTTCCTCATTGCCTGATACAAAGTAGCAGGGATCACAGAATCACAGAATCACAGAATCACAGAATCACAGAATCACAGAATGGTTAAGGTTGGAAGGGAACACAGTCCAAGCCCCCTGCTCCAGCAGGATCACCTACAGCATGTGGCACAGGGCGGCATCCAGGTAGGTGTTGAAGACCTCCAGAGAAGGAGACTCCACAGCCTCCCTGGGCAGCCTGTGCCAGGGCTCTGTCACCCCCACAGTGAAGAAGTTCCTCCTCACATGGAGATGGAACTGCCTGTGTTGCAACTTACACCCGTTGCCCCTTGTCCTGTCACTGGAATGAATCAATATCTGATTCATATCTGGACAATGTGGTGCCTTGCATGGCAGTGTCTCCTGTCCCTTTGTTTCCTTCTACCAGTGCTAGGCAGTGCAAGAGCTCACTTTTCATTCTGAAAGCTTTAGAAATGGCTTCAGCCACTGTTTTTGTTCTTCTGAAATGAGAATCATCTGGTCCTATTAACATATTGGTTGTTTTGCTTAGCTTACTCCCACCAGACGTGTTTTGCTTGCAACAAACAACAGCTCTGGGGAAAGGCTCTAGTACTTGTACCTGTGGCACTCCTTTGCAGTCTTGGGATTACCCTTAGCAGAGTTTATTAATGAATAAGCTTCAGAGTACTCTTGAAATAAAGTATGTCATATACAGCTATCAAATGGGTATTCTGATTTTCTTTTTTTTTTTTCTTTTTTTTTTTTTTGTGATCTCTTTCACACCTCATCACTAAATATGAAATTCACCAAAAAATGCAGTTGGGATCACATTCAGCAAAATGCTTGGAAAGAAAAAAATCCTGAGCAGAAATATTTTTAATATGATGAGATATTGAAAAAGTTTCACCTTATGGTGATATTTTTTCATTTCAAAGTAGATATAAACAGGGAACAACAACAACGACGACGACAAAAAGGCATACTATAAAAGAATAACAATATCAATAAGGTGAAAGAAAATATTTTATTTTAGCTTGAGTAAGAGAGTCCAGAACTGGAAAAAGACAATGAGTTCTCTTGATTTTTAAGGTGTCAGATAAAAATTTAAATTCATTCCTCTATTCTTTTTTTGTTAGCTTTCTGAACTAAAATATTAGTTTTTTACTCCTTCCTTAATCTGGATCTTAATATCCTGGGTCTTAATCCTTCAGCTGATTATTTTGGGCAAAGATGCTACAGATGGGGACAATGCCAGTGAGTTCCAATCCCTCCATCATCAGTTCAGTTTTGTTACACATTTTAAACTATCACAGCTAGCTTATTGTGGCACTAATTGTGCCTGTAATTGAGGCACTAATTGTGCCTGTAAGAATGCTGGTCTGTACTGAATGGATGTCTGAATGCTCAGAACACAGAATACCTTCTAAGGGCAGGAAACTGTAAAAGCAAAACCTTATTATGGACTTAATTTAAATACAGTTCTATCACTCTTTAGTAGTGATAAAGCACTTATATATTAATAGGCCTGCTTTTTCAGAGATGATCTCTATTCACTAGTGCAGAGGAGAGCAAAGACTACAATAAGCATGGCTGAGGATTTCAGTTTTATCCTTGCTAATCTCAATACAGGTCATTTTAGTAAGTCTATAGTCTTCTGAGACTTATATTTTATTATATTTTATTTAATCCAGACTGACTCTTTCAGATGCTGTGAACAAAAGTGTCACGGCAAAAGGTCACTGATGGTGGCCTTCCTGGAAACTCTTTAATCCTTTGAAACTCTCTCTGTTCTCTGCTAATAAACTCAAGCTGTGTAGCACATTCAACATAAATTCACTTTGGGAACATGTTCATCACTTTGGTCTGAAAAAAATAGATGTGCAAGAGMAGGAATATAAAATATAGAAAGAATGAAAACTAGTAAAAATGGCAGAGCAGCAAGGACATAAACCCTATTATTAGTATCAAGAACTACCTAAAATCCTTTGACAATCTTAATATTAAATGATAATTTATTAAAATGTGGAAATAGAAGAACAAAAAGCAAGCATTTTCAATTTTTATGGCAAGTCTCACCCTAAACCAGGTGCTTTATATAGCTATGTCCAGTCTATATTTTCTTGCATTGGGATTTTTAATAGTAAAGAAACACTACCTTAAGCTGTACAACTGGAAAAAAAAAAAAAAAAAAAAACTCAAAATAACTTGCTTTTACAAATATTCTAAAATTTGCATTATAAAGCTATTTCTTATGTCCCTTTTAGAACTGAGGAAACAGTTGCAAATGTAAGGAAAACTGATGACAACTTTATCTATTTCTAGTATTAAGAAGTCAGTTCAAAGAAAACTTCCTCTTTTCCTCTTGGTGACAGCCTCTTCGCTGGGCCTCAGAAGTCTTAGGGACTTTATGTCTCAAAATCATGAAGAGAGAGAAGAGATAGGCMGCAGGTCAGTTATTAACTGGAGAGATCCAAAGTAGAGAGAACAAGACAGGTCACGTTAGAGATGCTTGCAAAGCAGATGAATTGCAGACCAGGGAAGAAAGCAGCCAAGCTCTGCAGCCYGTACGATAGGAGACCTTCAGGAGCTGGCATGTTGCTGAGGACAGGAGTGGAGCAGGGGACAGGAGTGGAGGAGGGGACAGGAGTGGAGGATCTGTGCCTCTGCAAAACATCCTCTGAGAAGTGAGGAGTAATTTTTAAAATGGTCTCCAATGAGAGATCTGGGGATTTCCTGAGTGATATTGGTCTTATTTGAGTGCTAATGCCCAAKATCCTATTATAGACAGACATTTCCACTGCTGGAGAAGGTCCTTCATCAAAGAAACATCACCAAATTGCCAGGGTGGTAGGATTACTGTACATGTCTCTCTATACTAATTTATTAAAGGATGGAAATGGGAACTGCTACAGATAAAAAAGAAAAATTTGGGAGCAGTGGATGTGACTCATTTTAGCAGGGAAGGCCTCTGTGTTGTGGTGGTCAGTAGCTCCCCTGTATGAGCTGGTATTAGCTGTTTATATTTTGGGAATATCCAAAGGAAGAAAATTAGACTAACCCTCAAAAAAGTCTTTGGAGCTTTGACAACAGCTGAGCATGTGTGTTTAAGTATCTTATTTGAAAATGGCATTTTTGCCAAATAAACAACAGTGTTTATGCCCCTAAGGTAAATCACCCATCTATGGGGACTCTTCGTACATCTGGGTTATATAAAGTGTTGACTGATCTCATGCTTTCCATGTAGGAGATAGACATGTGCTTGGAAGAGAGTTTCAATCCATTTCAGTACAGCTGAATGCACAAGTATTTCACTGTAAGTATTTCTGGCTTAAAATCTCATGGAAACGTAATTAGGAAAGATTTACAATTTGTTGTTGTTGGGATAGATGGGAAAGTAGAAATAATTTCAAGCTATTATTCCAGACATTTCAAGAAAAATAGAATATGTACAAGAAAATATTGTGTACRTAACTGTAGCTGTCTTACTAAAAATCATATAGTTCAATTTTCTGTTCTATCAAGCCATTATAAACCTTTAATATCTTACAGTTATGGTTGAAACTTAAATGTCACTGTCTTAAGTAAAAAGTAGTGGTGATATTTGGGACATACAGTTTTACTATCTTCTCTCCTGTATATTTACATGCCATCAACACAATGGATATCCATGCGTTTTTGTTGCAGTAAGAAATTACTTATTTTATAGTAATCACTGCAGATCTTCTGCTTAATAAAAAGAATCATTACTAAATGGGAATTTAATTTCCAGAGAAATTCACAAGAATTGGTGTACTATTATACTGGAGTCAGCTTTAAAATCCCTTAATGAGCTTTCTCTTGCAATGACTGCTAGTCAGCACTGTTATTTTTTCTTCTAAGGCAGAACTTGTCTTTATTTACTGCTTGCTCACACATCTCCATTTGCTGTGGTTTTTTTAAGCACTACTAACATGACTGGTTGAAGAAATCCAAATCAAAAATATAAAAAGTGGTACCATAAAAATCGAATGCAGTGRTCTGGTCTGAAACTACTTTACTTTGATAGAATTATAACACAGGTAAAATAGCTTTGTTTTTCCTTGAACAATAGAAACTGTCCAACAGCTCTAATGAAAATGTTTGATTAAAAGATGCATCTCTCCTTCTAATGTGCCTTTTCATTACCTTTTTCAGGTAGTCATCTGGCATCTCTGCTACAAGCTGAGTCCTTTTCCAGGTTTGTTGGAATCCTGGAAAGGGTCCTGCAGACCTGGGAAGGCTGAAGTGATCTCAGCCCCAGGACCTGGCCCAGGAGAGGGGATGATCCCTGTGTTTTGCTATGAGGCAAATGGCTCCTGCTTTCGGACCCTGCACCCTTTTGGGATCCAGGTGGCCATTTATGTGGTCTGTGCGCTGGGCATGTTGCTCACGGTGCTGGGGAACCTGCTCGTGGTCATTGTGGTTTCCCATTTCAAAGCCCTGCACACTCCCACTAACTTCTTGCTCCTCTCCCTGGCCCTGGCTGACCTCCTCCTGGGGCTGATTGTGCTGCCCTTCAGCACGATACGATCTGTAGAGAGCTGCTGGTATTTTGGAGACGACTTCTGCAAGCTGCACACCTTCCTGGACACGGTCTTTTGCCTGACCTCCATATTTCACCTGTGCTTCATTTCCATTGACCGGCATTACGCTATCTGCGACCCTTTGCTCTACCCCACAAAGTTCACCATAAGGGTGGCCTGCATTTACATTGGGGTGGGCTGGGCAGTCCCTATGGTTTATACCTCGGTTTTCCTGTATGCCAAAGAGATCACAGAAGGGCTGGGCCATTTCTTACAGGACATGCCCTGTGTTGGTAGTTGTCAGCTGCTGTTCAACAAGCTCTGGGGTTGGTTGAATTTCCCTGTTTTCTTCTTCCCTTGCCTCATAATGATAGTTTTGTACATCAAAATATTTACCGTAGCTAACAAACAAGCCAGACTCATAAGCAACATGAATAAGAGCGTCGGGTCTCAACTGCATGTAGGAGCATCCAAGAGCGAAAGGAAAGCAGCAAAGACACTTGGGATAGCTGTAGGAATCTACCTCCTCTGCTGGTTGCCTTTTACTATTGATACCATGGTAGACAGTCTTCTAGATTTCATTACTCCCCCAGTTCTCTTTGACATCCTAATYTGGTTTGCTTACTTTAATTCTGCCTGCAATCCCTTGATCTATGTATTTTCCTATCGTTGGTTCAGGAAGGCTGCAAAATTAGTCCTAACTCAAGGAATCTTTTGTTCCAGGACTTCTACAGTAGACTTGTACCTGGAATGACCATAGCCTTCATATGCACTGTAGACAATAATGTAGGTTATGTACACAGCAAAGCATTTATGTACACAGCAAAGCATTCCTCATGAATATTATTTACTACCCAGTTAGTCAGTGTTTTTCTTCTTTCTGTTTTTCCCAAAACAATTGGCTTGAGTATATCCTGGGTTTAAATGGATGTACCATATCTTGCCTTCCAGAACACTTACTCCAGCACACATCTTATCGAACTCTTATGTTTGTTRTAATAATGCTGACAAGTGTTCAAAACACTAACCAGTTTCAGAGGAAAAACTAAAAAAGAGCCCACCCATATTGATCCCGAGATATCCTGAACTAATAGTAATCTGATTATGAACATACTTTTTTTACCACAGGCAATAACTTATTTTTAAATTAAGAAGGAGATCCTGATTTAGCAATTTACACAGGGCACATGTCTGTTTTTTAAGTACAAAAAGGCATGCAGATGCCACTGCAGGTGAGATCAAYTTTTATATTTACCAGAATCACTATAAAAAACAGATTTACCAAACCACTGGCCAACAGCAGGGTTATGCTGATATTTTTTAGATTATTGAGCTAGCATGCAGGGTTTGGCCCCTGAATCAAAGGCTGCCTCTGGGAGGTATGATCCTAAATTACTATTGTAACCCATAAAATCTTGGCCTGCTGAATGATTCATTGTAAGAAGACTTCTCCTTTCAACATCCCTGTTACCTTTCTCTGCACCTTTTCTACCTCYGTTATCCATAGTGAGTAGAAGGGCGAAGAGGGAAGACATGAACTGCACCAGGTATCYAGACTCTGGATATTAACATGATGTTATGATATTGTATGTTTAGGGTTTTTTTTTCTTTCTTTAATAATCCTAAGATTTCACATGTTGAGTTTTTTTTTCTTTTAATTTGTTTCCAAAAAGAGGAATCTAGCATATGCTTACATACTTGGGCTGAGCAGAAAATGTCAGTATAGATTATTCATTCTCTCCAGCATTTTTTATGTGTTTTTTCGGGGGGGCTAATCTTAATATTGGAGATTTCTGATAAGTTAAGGCCTCTGTTCAGCGGTGAGCTATATGATAAAATTTTGTACTATACACAACAGATTTTTTTCTGTCTCACTAGATTGTTATGCATATTTTTTTCAGAAAAAACTTTAAATAGTAGAAAGCAGAACAAATTCTCCTCTATAAAACATTAAAAGCAGCTTAGTTATTGTTATCATTATTATTATTATTATTATTATTATTATTAATGTTAATAATAATATTTATATAATGCATAATTTATATACATGCCTCCTAATAAGAGATCATTCTATTTTACAGTCAAACCTCATTTTCTGATTCACAAACACAAAAAGAGGAGGGAGCTACAGAAATCTGAATCATGCCCAATATGTATAAAACATAAAATAGGATTTTCACAGCAGATATTGYGTAAGAAATTAGTAAAATAAAATGACTAGCATGGGAGCTGCATGTTCTAATATATGTAATAAAGCAGAGAGTAAAATACTTTTCTTCTATTTTCATCATATTGGTAGTACAAATGAACTAGAGCTTCAGGATATTGTAATCAGTTCTGACAACAATTACCTGAAATCCTTTGGGATTTGTCCATAATCTTAAAATTCAGTCAGAAAATATATATATATATATATTTTAAGATATTTATTTTAAAGCACATTTAGGGAGGAAGGAGAGGAGATACAGAGGAGATGCAGTCCTTATGTGGCTTTTTTTCAGGAATTAAAGGCTCTTCTACTATTCCTCTGTCTGCTCCAGGTTGCATCAGAAGGCAAAATTGTACTGCATATGCCTGTGGACTTTCTATAGGAACGGTCCAAAACTAAGTGACCAAGCTAAACAGAGAAATGCAGAATGGGGATCGTACAGAGATTTAGATTTTACCAGAGGAATGCATATGAATTCTGTGGTATAATATCTTTGAAGGCCTACATTATGGGTTTAGTTTCAAGATTAAGACTTTTAACATTAATGTATACAGGTTGCTGTCTAGTTATGGTAAATTTCTAAGCACAGCTTATAGCAATGGCTAGTGTAGTCAGACTCTGATTGTAGTCAGTGGATATCTAGAATATGAATCAATTGCCTAGTGCCATTTATGATGCTTTAGGGAACTTTAATTTTATCTTTTTATTATATTTATGATGTCTTAAGCTTCATTTTATTTAAAATGCTTTAGGCTAGCATTTAGCTCAGACTTGCTGAGGGCCTAGTGGGACAGATCTGGGCCTATCTTAACAGCCCTCTTCACTGACACCTCCTCCTCCTGAAGTGATGGGGCCAAGGTATCTGAGAAGAGGAATTTTCATTGAGTTTCAGAGGGTTTCTTATTTATTTTGTTTTAGTATTTTCTATCAGTCCTCAAAAGACAAGGTATACACCAAAAGTGCAAGTAACTGGTGGAGATTTTCTGGTCTCCCTGCACAAGCAATGTCTTTATGGTTTTCTTTTGTCCTACAGAAATAGACGGGCCTTASTGAATTGGTTACCACTGTCTATGCACCAGCACAAGGGCAACGTGGTGACATAACATGAGGCCATCACTGGTGGCAGATCTTCAAGCTCTGCTTTTGGTGCCAATGTCAGGCTGGAACAACAGAGAGAGGGGCAGCTGAGCCAGTCAGCTAAGAGCAGTGACAGAGCAGGCACCTGAGAGGCAAGGGCTGCTGCGAGCTGCCCACGACGGCCCTCCCATTCTTCTGGTCACTCTGTTTCTCAGCAGCAGTAACTGATGCTTTACCTGCCCTCCCAGTTCCCCCGCTTTGCCTTTGGTGTCTGCTTGGTTTACAAAGTCAGACTCAGTCGTTATCCCTTTGATTGTTTTTTTCTCCGTGATTGCGAATAGCAATGACAATGAGTGTGAATTGTAGAAAAGTGATGACAAGGTTTAAAATGATAAAGCTTTGTTGCTCAACAATGACCTCATTTTTCAAAATGAAAATCTATTAGATTCTATCAGACAATTAAATCTAAGGACTTCTATGGACTAGAAGCTAACAGTTTTCCTTCTGTATATTTGTATTTCTTTACAAATGCCAATATTAAATGAAATATTGCCATTTGATTTTATGTCCTGTATAACTCCTTATCAGTTGAAATCTTGGTTTGGCTCAAGTTTGCAAGATTGTCTATTTGCRGGTACTTCTTAGTTAAAGACTAAAGGCTTTGAAATAACATACTAAATATCAGCTTCTTTCACTATGGTGGATGAAAATATAATATGATCTTGCAGAACCAAGCAGAAAGGCAAAGAAGGTTTTGAGAATAATTTTCATAGTGAATCTCGTTTTCAGAAAACATTATCAACTGATTACAGTTGGAACAATTTTTTCCCCACTCATTTAAAACTTATTTCATTAATCATCTCTGCTAGAGAATAGGTATCAGCTGAAATAACATAAAAATGGTCAGTACAGTTATTTAAACCAATAGGCTGCATAAACAATTTGGTAATATGATTAGCCCATAACCTTATTCAGGCTGGAAACCCTCTTACGTCATAGTTTTATACAGCAGCTGGTGTAAAATGAACATAATCTTGTTTCGGTTCTTTGAGATGATAGTTTAATTAAATTAGCAAGCAGAGACAATGGCAATAACAGCAATCTTCTTCATCCTAATGGAGGGCATTAATAAAAACTGCCTCAGAAAATCAGCCAGACTGCTTGCTATTTGTAGCAAATTCTAGCAACTCTGCTCTTCAAGTTTGAGATTGAGGCCCATAAATGAAATGTGATAGCAGAGAATGAAACCTGCCCAGAAGGTAAAAGCTGCACCACTTACGCAGCAACCACGGCTTGGAAAGAGGCCCCTCACTTGGGGGAGGCCTGGGCAGCCTCCCTGCCCTGTCGCAGCCACCCGGTTGGGCCACTTGCGGCACCCCCTGCTCCRCTGCTGGACCTCACATTCCCGCTGCCTAAAGGCAAGGGCGGGAGCAGGAGGAAGAAACACACGGTTGGAGAGCAGGGAGCGCCCATGGACTCAAGCACCTGTCTGTGAGGAAGGGGTGTCACAATAGCATAAACTTTCTGAGCTGTGAGCAATTGAAGATGGAGGCTATGTGGGCAACTACCAGAATTTCAGCAGTGTTTTGTCCATAAAGCACCAAGTATCTCTAGGAAAACAACTGGATACTTCTACAGCATAAGAATGAACATTGACCAATGTTTATGGTGACTGTACACTGCATTCAAGCTATAAAATAAGAGGTTTCCAAATGATGATTCACACATAAAGTATTCTCTCCGACACAGGGTCACGTCTCATTTAACCAGCAGATCTGATTCRAAATCAGATCACAAGAGATGCGTTACCTTCTGGGGAAAAACGGACTAATCTCAGGTGAGGCTTTATAAATCAAGAGTGACAAAGCTTAATCAATGGAGAGAAATGAGTCAATCAGTGTGACAAAAACGTTAAGACAGAAATCAAGGCAGGGCCCGAATTCAGAAGGGAATTACACTGTCATTAGCGCACCACCTAGTGGCATCATCCTGGATTATCTTAACTATTTAAGGAGAAAAAAAGCCCTAGGAATACAGCAGCGTGAAGGTAGTTGCTTACTAAAATGGCATATGAAAGCTAGAATGAAGGGGYACACACCAAGCCTGCAGCAAATGAAAGGATGGATGTCATCAAAATGCTTTTCTTAGTAACTTTTAACTTATAGAAATGACAAAAGAGTGGAAGAACCTTCTGTGGAGGTTCTTTCTTTCATGAACTGATGAAAGAAATGGATGCAGACACGCTAAGCTTGAAGACTACATTGYCTCTCATTTGAGCATGCTTTAAGAAACATTGTCACCTCTGTATACTTTCTGAAAAGCATAGATGCTTCAAACTTGTAAACTTCACCCGACAGCATTTGTATTTTATTTGATTTCTTCATTCGTGTTCCTAGGTTATGACATTAGTAAGGTTTTCACCGCTGACTATTTCTGCACCCCTGCAGTGCCAGAGACGTTTGCCATCG